CGATAGATATTTAGAATTAAAAGTCAGTGGCTATGTTGGTTATTGAGTTAAAATACGAATGAATAGAAGATGGATGCTTCAAATTTCAGAACGATTAGTCAAATAATTTATAGGGCAAAACATATTCATGGCCGGCTCTCGTTCGTCTTGAATCCGAGGAGACTAATCACAACCAAATGTCCAACATATGTGTGTATTAAAGGCTAATGTAATATTACACCAATAGGGCCAACGAACCTATCGAAAGATATATGCCCATCTGAATATTGGGCTGTTGGGCCTAAACCTAACTTTTGGATTCAGATTTATCCAGTCTCATGTATTTTGTATCTTGTGTTCAATTCATTTTCTTATCTAAATTTTATTACAATTCATTGTTATTTGATCACTACTTATAAATTTAAAGTTTGGTGTTATTGGATATGGTATTTTTAAATTATGATTCTTAGAATTAAGGTTTGTATCTTACTCGATTAAGATTTTAAATCTCTAATGTTATAAGTTATTAAAAAAAAAAATCTTTCTATACAAAACTATCTGAACTGAATTCGAGTCTAACACATATTTTTCAAAATCTAAGTTAGTGACATTTGGAGAAGTGCTTTCAGTTAAAACTTAACTGAATCTGATATATATACTTCGGATAATATATTTCAATTATCCGTTTTTGATCCTTACCTGCAATAAACCAGTCACGTAAACCACATTATAACTAATATTTTTTTTTTCCTCTCACATTATAATTAATATACAGTAGGAAAAAAGTGATAGTAGATTTGTACTATTTTATTTTATTTTCTGAATAGTGAATATCATAGAGAGAAACACAACTTATAAAGATATATTCAATGAAATATTAGAGCATGATTATAGGCAGGATGTTAGGTAAATCTTAGAGAAATCTTAGGATAAAACTGATTAAATTTAATGCATATACTCCTTTAACACTAACAAACGTTCCTTAGCTAAGGAACATTTTTCCATCTAAGAGGCGGACATGTGTCGAGAAAAGACTGGAGCGTGGTAAATGAAGAGAAAGGAAAAAAGAGCTTTTTTTTAAAAGTCTTTTTCGCGTTCTGTCTCTCTCTCTCTCGCGCGATTTCATCGAGAGAATGAAAACCAGAGACTCAAATCGGAGGTATCGCCGTCGTTCCGGTGTTAGTTCATCATCTCCACCGCTGCACTTTCTGATGCATCCACTGCTCCTTTCGCTTCTAGGTTTCTCTACGGATATGTATTGTCTCTCTCTCTGAGATTTGGATTTGTTTTGACTTTCATTGGATAGTGGTGGATTGAGTTATTGGATTTGATTACTCTGTTTTCTAATTTTGTTCTGGATTAGGGTTAGTTCATAATTGATCATCTTCTATTGCTAAATTGAATAAGAAAGTTTGCAGATTTATAGTTATAATTGAGCGGTCACACTAATCCAAGGCTATGTCAATTACTAGTATGAATGTATAGCTGCTTTGACCTCTCTTCACTTGACCTGAATGTGTTTTGGTTGCTATAATGAATGATTAGAATTACTTTTAATCATAGACTTACTCGGAAGATGAGTTTTGTTGGTCAGATTAGTGAGTCTTCAATAATATGTTGTATTTTCTCCTACATTGTTTTCTGGCTAATTTTTCAGCCATTCTATTTTAATGTTTTGTTTTGAAGATTTCATTGCTCTTACTAGCTTCTGCTGCAGGTCTAAACTCGAAACCATTTATTCAAGAATAGTCCATAACTTTTTTTGTTTCATTTGTCATGTATCTTGCTATGAATGTAGTTTAAGATTAGAGAGGTCTTGGAGTTAAGTGAACTATTGGCCTTCGAATATTCTTTGGGTATATGTGAAGCAGAAAACATCAGTGGAAGTGAAGATGAAGATGAAGATGAAGCTGGTGGATCCCAATCCTGAGCATCAAAGAAGAAAGAGAATAAGCGACAAGAGCGGGAAGCACAAAGACGATCTAGCATATGTAAAATCGAGGTTTTTGGACCTTGAAGATGACTTTTATGTTTATATGTGATCAAGAGTTTAGATTGGTTTAAAATCAAAATCACTAGGGATTTCGATTTTGTTGAAATCTGTTAATTGTGAGCTTTGATCCCAACTTTTGGATGTTGTTTGGGATTCCAAAAACTCTTTTAATAGATTTTGACTCTTGTCACTTATTCACTTGTTCTCACAAACTCATACCACACACGTTTATACTCATCCAAAAATTGATCTTGCTACTTAATCCAAAAATTCTATAGAAATGCCTTCAAATCTCGTCGATATGATGGCCACTAAGAATTCGACTTCGTGATCGAGCTATGCATATATGGACAAAAATATTCCAGAAATCAAGTTTAAAACATTTGTGGTTTATGTTATTTATGTTATAAATTGTATCTCATGTATGTTTTAATTTTTTTTAATTTGCAACAATTAATAAATTTTCTATAATTATAAATTGTATTTTTATATTAATATTTTTTTTTCTAAGAACCACATGTTAAGAGCATACCATTAATCACACAAAAATCTTAACTCAAAAATACTATCTCTTAACAATCACTTTTATAAATAAATTACTTAAATATTGCTAAGAGCAATTTCTAAGAACCCACCTATAATCATGCTCTTAAGCTGGGGATAAGTGATAACCAATGAGATACTAGGCTATTGGGCCTCGATCTAGGATCTAAAATCAGATTGTTTTTAAAATGATAGCTGTAAATTGCAAATTTTGTAAACATCATGAATGAGGAAAAAAAATAATAAAAAAAACTTCATAAACAAATCAGTATGTATAATAATAGTAAATTGATATGAACATGAAAGTGTTACATTGTTCTCTCATGTTTGACTGAAATTTTTTTGGGTTTAATTAGACGTCTACAGAAAAAAAAAATCGCCGCCGGTCACAGACATGTCCAGATGTCATCCATTTTAATTGATTATACAAAAAACAAAAACAAAATCTGAATCAATAAAGAGTATAACAAAAAAAACCAAAATATTTTCGTAAAAAAAAAATTAACAAATTAAAATTGTAGTATTACTTTCTTACAGCTATTACAAAAAAAATCCCCACCTAACACAAACACAAACACAAACAAAACACACTTTAGGGAAACCCCACGCAATAACAACGCACTCTCATCTCATATTTAACAACCTTGTTGTGAAAACGTATTTCGAATGATTTTATAACTTAAGAAATAAGTATCAATATAAGAGAGAAGTAGAAAATAGAGAGAGTTTTTGCATTGATTTTGTTGTGATCTTTTTTGGTGTACATTTTACAATGAATTTGATGGTATATATAGAGAAGAAATATAGAGATGTTTAGTGATGGTGGTCTCCACATAAATGTTTTACACCATCCATTTATAAGTGGGAAGTGTTGGTGATTTTACACCATTGATTTCTTAGTGGAATGTTTGTTGAATTTGATTTTCATAACACTCCCCCTAGGAGACCAGCGTCACTATTGTCTCTTGCGTAATATTTCTTGTTGCCTCGTTAAAAACCTTTCCAGGAAAACCCAGTGGGAAAAACCTTGGTAGGATAAAAGAGTGCAACTTCGCAAGCTCTCCCACAAATAATCAGGATCACGTCTTACAAGTGTTCATCACCATAGATGTATGACGTACTGCCTCGTTAAAAACCTTCTCATGGAAAAACCCATTGGGATAAAAACCATGACAAGGGAAAAAGAGTACAGTAACACATACTCCCCCTGGAAAAGACTTCATAGGTCTCGTAGATGACGCATTCCAATACTTTGAACATGCTTTCTAAATGTAGAAGTTGGAAGCGCCTTTGTGAATAGATCTGCTGCATGCATTGTCACTTGAATGAATGTACTGAACGTCGACTTCATTATTCTTCTCGAGTTCTTGAGTGTAGGAGAAGAATCTTGGTGGAATATGTTTTGTTATGTCGCTCTTGATATAGCCTTCTTTGATTTGAGCAACACATGCAGCATTATCTTCATATAGTCTTGTTGGCTCTCTTTTGATGACTAATCCACTTGCTTCTTGAATATGGTTAGTCATAGATCTAAGCCATACACATTCTCTACACGCTTCATGAAGAGCAATGATCTCTGCGTGATTTGATAAGGTGGCTACTATCGTTTGCTTTTGAGAACGCCACGAGATTGCAGTTCCTCCAATGGTAAAAACATATCCAGTTTGTGATCTAGACTTATGAGGGTCCGATAGATATCCTGCATCTGCAAAACCAACTAGACCAAACTCGGAGTTTCTAGAATAATATAATCCCAAATCAATTGTACCTTGAAGATAGCGGAAGATGTGTTTTATCCCATTCCAATGCCTTCGAGTAGGGGATGAATTGTACCTTGCAAGCAAATTAGTAGCAAAAGCAATATCTGGTCTAATACAATTTGCAAGATACATAGAATGAGAAAATTCCATCATCATCATCTATCTCATTTTTAACCCATATTTTTCTATTTTGGGTATAGTTGATGGAAATCTCATGGTTTTCTTTATTATTTTCGTCTTCAGGACTTTTTCCGTCTTCAGGACTTTTCTCTGTATCCAACTCTTCAGGAATCTTCTCATTTACTTCTCCCAATTTCTTTTTCTTCCGGGGATTTTTTATCTTTTGAGCCCATTGGTCTCCCCCTTTTCAACTGAACTTTAGGTTCATTTATTTTTCCATCAGTTTGTTCTTCGGGAACATCAATTCTAGATGGAACATTCGCAGCGGGTATATAAGATTTTGTCACCCTTCTTGTATCAGTGAATGCATCTGGTAGTTGATTTGCCAAATTTTGTAAATGTACAATTTTCTGAACTTCCAGTTCACGTTGTTTCGTAGGGGGATCAAGGTGCAATAAAGAAGGTGTGCACCATGTAATATCTTTTGGAATTTCTTTAATTCCTCCCCCTAATGCTGGGAATTCTCCCTCATTAAAATGGCAATCGGCAAAACGTGCCGTAAACATATCACCAGTTTGCGGTTCAAGATACTGAATTATACTTGGTGATGTAAACCCGACATATATTCCCAATCTCCTTTGTGGTCCCATTTTTGTTCTTTGCGGTGGAGCTATAGGTACATAAACCGCACATCCAAAAACACGGAGATGGGATATATCTGGCTTCTGGCCAGAACCTAATTGTAATGGGGAGTATTTATGATATGCACATGGCCGTATTTGAATTAGTGCAGCAGCATGCAAGATTGCATGACCCCATACCGAAATTGGGAGCCTTGTTCTCATTATTAACGGTCTAGCAATAAGTTGTAGCCGTTTAATCAAGGACTCAGCCATGCCATTTTGTGTATGAACATGAGGGACCGGATGTTCAACATCAATTCCTAATGACATGCAATAATCATTGAAAACTTGTGAAGTAAACTCACCAGCATTATCAAGTCTTACTTTCTTTATTGTATAATCAGGGAATTGTGCTCTCAACCTGATTATTTGGGTAATGAATTTCGCGAAAGCCGAATTTCGTGTGCTTAATAAACACACATGTGACCATCTGCTGGATGCGTCAATTAATACCATAAAATATCGAAATGGCCCGCACTGTGGGTGAACAGGTCCACATATATCACCATGTATTCTTTCTAAGAATGCTGGAGATTCATTCCCAATTTTCGCTGGTGATGGCCGAGTTATTAGCTTTCCTTGAGAACAAGCATTACATGAAAATTCTTTTGATTGAAAAATCTTCTGGTTTTTCAATGGATGGCCATTTGAATTTTCCACAATTTTACGCATCATGACTGAACCTGGATGCCCTAAACGTTCATGCCAGATTTTGAACGTATTTGTAAACTTCGGGTTTACAGTAATATATGATTCAATCATATTTATTTTTGTAGAGTATATTCCGGAGGATAAAGCTGCTAGCTTTTCTAATATACATTTCTTCTCCGTAATAATTAATGTAATGCAAAGATATTCAATGCCATTTTCATTTAGAGTTTCTATGTGATATCCATTTCTGCGGATATCTCTGAAACTTAACAAATTTCTAAATGATTTAGGAGAATATAATGCATTATTTATTTCAATTTTTGTTCCCCTCGGCATTGAAAAACTGGCTATTCCGGAGCCCATAATAATTTTTGCATTACCAGATATAGTATTAACGCTTCCGGCGGAATTTTGTATTTTTAGGGAGGAGAAATACTTTTTATCTTTAAGGATTGTGTGCGTTGTAGCATTGTCTGCCAGACATATATCTCCATCCTTCATCTCAAATTTGGACATTTTCTGAATTTATAAATATTCATAAAAAATATGTTAATATATCATAACAAACGATTTATATTATAATAAAACTATTTTACAACAAAGATAAAATACAAAACACACAAAAACAAACATTAAGCTTTTATTTTCTTCTTCAGGAAGATAAACATAACTATCATGTCACACAAACTTCTTCGGGAAGTTTTATTCATTTTGTTTATCGTTGATGGCTTCAGGATCAACTATGAAATCGGCAATGTCGAGATATGTATCATCGATTAAACCATCGAAAGAAGGCCCTGGTTCGCCATAAACAAAGTTGGTTTCTTTTTCTTTTTGTGATTTTTGGTACAGATCGGCCAAATGTTTCGGCGTACGACAGGTACGGGACCAATGTCCTTTCATGCTGCATCTGTAACAAGCATTTTCATGTTGCTTAATCGCGCGACCATCTTCGTTCCTTTTGAATCTTTTATTGTTGTTTTTAGTGGAATCATTAGGACCGAATTTTCTTCCGTGTCCACGTCCACGCCCATATCCACCTCGTCCACGACCACGATCATTACTTCGAGCGCGTTTACGTCCGTAATTATTATAATTAGATGCTGCAACATTCACTTCCGGGAATGGAGCTGATCCAGTCGGACGAGATTGATGGTTCAACATCACAATTTCATTATTTTGTTCTGCAACCAACAGAACTTGCATTAGTTCAGAATACTTCGTGTATCATTTTGTTCGGTATTGTTGTTGCAGAAGTACATTTCCAGGATGAAATGTTTGGAGAGTTTTCTCAATCATATCATAATCACTTATATTTTCTCCACATAACATTATCCTGAAAGTAATTCCGAACAAAGCGGAATTATATTCGGCAACACTTTTGAAATCCTGAAAACGGAGGTTCAGCCACTCGTGTTTCGCTTTTGGTAAGATCACATAT